GACGTTTTATAAAGTTTTTTCCAAGGCAGATAACCCTGTGACTAAACATGTAATTTTCAAAGACAGCCACATTCACTACCTATACGACGATAGTTCATGTCAAAGAATTTACAAAGAAAATCTCAGCAAGGTCTCTAAAGTAAAGACGGGAATACGTTGGAATGATAAGAACGATTTATGTGTAATGCCGCAGAAGCCTGAAGACCTACAGGCAAAAATCAGCATGCTAGCAAAAGAAGTAGGGAAGACCGGAATCCAAGTAAACATAGAGAAGACAGAGAGGATGAAGAAAACCAACTAACCAACAAGAACACCAACCACCGATCAATTCCACGGAAAAAAATTCGAAAGAAATCACTTCCTCCACCTTTCTAAGCATCTGGAGTCGAGGTGGATGGTGATGTCAAAACTAGAATCCCAAAAGCAACACACACCTTCATAACTCTGAAATCAGTTCAAAATATCCTCTTCACTCAGCAGCACAAAGAACAAAATTTGGAATATCAACACCTTAAGTCAGTTAGTTTTTATGCGTATTTCACAAATCTGACGGACGGGTCAAGAAAAGCATTTTCAACGGTCAATTCCTAACTTTTATCATGAGCTGCCAAGGATGACAGCAATGCTGAAGATTGAATCGTAAGAAACAATCAGAAACACGAAAATTTATAAATGATCAAGTAATCATTAGCTGACAACAATTAGAGAACCACTAGAAAACCTGGGAGTACTGGAGAGCAGTTTCGCTCTAGTTCGTGACTCTTCATAGCACGCACCCATCGTGTTTCTAATCCAGGACTTTCTGGTTACAAGGCCAGCAGCCTCGTAGACCGTTAAGCTACTGCGACTCGATCCACTGGTCAGCCCATGGATTCTAACTTCTGCCAATTCATGACATAGCGCAACGACTTTGCAATGTCTTCTTAGATGAGTTACCGCTTCACTTTCAACCTGCTGCACGTTTCTGCTACTAGCTCTCTTCGTAACCAGAAGGTCCTTTGTTCAATTCTCGGTGGGTGAGTAAAGATGACAAGTCCCAAACTGGGACGAAACACCTATCCAGTACTCCACGGTTCTCCAGTGACTCTCTAACTGATTTCAGCTCATGATGAAATCTTCTCACTAGTCAAACAAAGTTCCTTTTAGAAACCGATAATTAGGAACCGATCTCTCAACAAATATGCAGCAGAAAATGGACACTCACTGGTGAGACTACCGAGTGACATCACGCGCCCAACCACCGAGTGGAACCCAAGGAGGCAATGATAGAGCGACAGGGAGTAATAATAACCGCTCTATACTGATGTGTATATATAAATATACATATATATATATATATATCATTTATTCAGAAAATGAACAAATGGTTAATGTGCTAGTAACACGCCAGTCAACAATAATTTAGCAGTACAAGTAAATAGGTCAAACAGGCAAAATTATAAAGGAAACGTGAGCAAGTAGCACAAAGTAAGAATATCTCCAATATGAAATTATGAAATTTCAAAGAGATATTCATATAATATATGAGGAAAGTTGAGAAAAAATGTCACCTGATTCTGTTAAACTGTCAAATTAACACAGAGAAGGGCCTAATGTGAAAACATAAATTTAGTAGGTTCGTCATGACGAAGGGTACGTAGGCGAACTGGTTAAATAACATAAAGATTGTGCAGAACTCTATAGAAGGTATAATTCCTAAATTGCTGGATTTAAATATCTCAACCCTAAGGTGAGATTTCATAACTCGTAAGCTGAAGGCTCAGTTATCACTGGCTTATACTGCTCAAAAGTTTCAAAGTAGAATAACTAACTGTTTAGACCTGTCTAGTTTCCAATAGTTCGCTAGGTGATGAATACTGCAGTACCATCGAAACTTAACATTTAAAGGTGATAAAGCACCACATAGGCTTCATTTCTGTGGCTTCAGTCTCAAGTGATGATATACGCATAGCAGACTTTTCCTACATCTTACTCATTAATGCAGCATGATGCTGAGACAACTGATGGCAAATTTTTGCATATTATATTCTTTAGATGAATGGCGAAAACAGCTTTATTTTATCAGCCTCCTTCTTTGCGTAAGTAGTGATAACGTATCAGTCAGTGGTTCCAGAAAACATCAGTGGTTAATGCATTATCTATCACTCAGGGTACCCGGGGCCGATCATACTCATTTTCCACTGGGAACGTTAAGGAATCAAAAATGTGTCCATGTTTTCTACCGTATTTACACGAATAAAATAGAGTAATGCGACGTTCATCGTGGAGTAATAATTAAGAACATACTTCAAGACTATGTAGTGCACTACCCGAAATCTTCTTAGCCTCAGTCAAAAGCTATATGATAATGTCACATGTCGGGTGACCCTTAAATAAAAACTCACCAGAGTTTTAGATGTGAATACAGGAGTAAGACAAGCTGCCTGCCAAATATCACCAATGATATATCTCTAATTTTGATGGGCTGGATTATGTGGAACACTTTATATGGGAAGCTAGAAGACAGGAATGCATTGGACTGATAAAAAGACCCTTGAGAATCTGTATTTCACGTGTGGATGATTTCCTTTTAATGTAACACAAACTCGAAAACTTAAAGGCAAAAACCAACAAATTGACATAAGAAGCAGCCAACAAAGACAGGAGTTCAAGTGAACTTACAGAATACGCAATTGATGATGATAACCGAACAAAAGCAACATCAACCAGCACCAATAGTAATTTGAGACAGATCACTTCCTTCATTTGTCTAGGAAGAATCGCTTCAAATACAGACATGGGGCAGAGATACGATAATGACCTTCATCTCTGTGAAATCAGTTTAGAGATCTTCTACACTCTGCATAAACAGAGAAATTCAGATTTTAATACCACTGTCGAGTCAGTTCTTCTGAATGTGTTAGAGACTTGACACTGGCGTCACGGAAAGCACTTTCAACCGTCAGCTGAAGACTTGTATCAACCGCTGTCTCTATTGTATGCTGAGGACTAACGGGATAAGAATATTTATCAACAAGAAGCTCTGAAGAAAGACTAATCAAGAACCTATGCTCAACATATATGCTGAAGACAACATAAATGGATCGGATATAGTCTGGCGAGACCGTCGAGTGACATAGTAAGTCAGGCTGGGACTCCAGTGTAACTCGAGGGTGACATGAAGGAAGTCATACAAGAGGGAGATAAGAGACTCTGCAGTCTACTTGAAACTCAAGGGAATAATAGTAAGTTTTAATTTATACAATTGCCTAAATCATTATAAATGCAGTGTATGAGAATAGGGGGCAATAGTTGAAGCGTATGAATGTAATCCTTTATATTTAAGAATAGTGTCTTCTGTTTCGACTTTATACGGGTACACTGATTCTGGTATTCAATACTTGATAAAATAACATGTCACACTGACAATGAATTCATCTTCTTTTGTGGATTTTTCAATTAAACTAAATTACTGTAACGGTAACAGGTTAAGAAATTACATATCGTTAAGTCTAAAAATCAACTCTCAAATCGCCTATTATTATTCCATTGGGTTAAAAGTGGAAGGGAAGGCTTCAACAGCGAACCTTCATCTTCACCCTATAATCCGGAGTCGTTCTTACCCGGCTTCATAAGTGCCCATACCATCTTATCTCTTCGTCACATAATCGCTTCCACATCACATTAGAAGCAACCCCAAACTCATTATTTCTTATTCACCACCCACTCGATGGTCTAGGACGTGATATAAATCAGCGGTCTACTCAACGTGTGTTCACACCATCTCCATTTCCTACTATATACATTTAGGACGATAAGTTGTTAGTTGGTTTGCTCCTAAAGTTCCTTGTTCCTAATACTTTCTAATCGGTTATCTGGGCTTCATTATGAAGTAAAGACGGGAGGGGAAGTGTAGATGAAAACCCGTAGCAGCCTCCTGGAAATGCTTCCTCTGAAGCAGCAAGGTAGCTGCGTTACATACAGCCAGGAGACAATATTCACTCCTAAAGCACATTGCTACCAATGAACTTAAACCAGAAGATCCTGGGTGTGGAACCTGGAGGATGCGTACTACCTATGAATTCGAAAATAGCAAGAAACAGTTGTCCAGCACTCTCTACCTCTTTTTCTTGGTTCTCCAACTGATATCGATCTCTAGGTGGAACTTGATACAAATCAAATCCCTGCAAACAAGCTCTTGCAAAAGGAAAAAAAACGTAGACCTGAAGCATCCAAGCTATTTACGGGTAGTTTACAGACAAAGGCTCAAAGACTAAAGCCTGTTTAATTCACGTGTTTCAGCTCCGACATACTAAAATCTGAATACCTTCAACTTTAGGGAATGTGTAATTTATTGATTTTCTTCAGTGTAGGCGGTAGGTGAATTAGGCAGAAGAAGTAGGCTAGTCTGTGTTGACTACTTTGACTAACACGATAAACACAGCTTCGATTGAGAAAAAACAAAAATTAAGTTGAAAAAGCCAAATTATAAGGGGATAAAAAAGGTTAATTATTCAACATATTAGTAATAATAATGTGCATGAACAAAACAACTTTATTGAATTTTAATGTTATTATTCACATGTGAACTACCTTGGAATCACAATTTTTTTCTACTTCCAAACCTTCCTCCTTTTTATATCTACAAATCATATTTGTTTAAATATAAAGACCGGTAAAACACGGTAGAATTTCAGTGAAATTCAGTCAACCAATCAAAATTGGAATTTGCCACATTCATTGGTAATATATAAACGCATTCTACATCGTTTAAATCCTTGATTCAGGCTCATTCTTGTCGGAAGCATATTATGCACCAGAGAAATGTGTGATCTACGTAATTAATTGCATATGTATGGGTAATACTGAAAATGGTTGGCTGGCTGGTTGACTGATTCACTGATCTCAACAGACTACTTCACAGCTTAACGCATAATATGCAAAGACTACGAAGAATAACGTGATAGCAGTAATACCTCATACAAACAAGCACGCACACACACACAAACAGGAACAAAATTATGGCCTACAATTTAACATGTTTCAATGCTGAAACTGATTTCACACCTGAAGGTGTTATGATGTATAGATTTCGAGCTTATGTAACTCCATTAATTGTAATCTTTGGTACAACAGGAAATATTCTCGTTCTTATTGTATTTACTATTATGCAAATGAAATCTGCATGTCGATTTAATTCCTATGTAATTGGTATCACTATAGCGCATATTATGGAATTAATATTCAATGCATTTCTTGATGATTTTCTTGGCAGAGGATTAGCCTGGTTAAGTCGATGTAATATTATTGTCAAATTGGATATTTATTCACAATTCTCATGTAAATTTTTTCTCTACATTCCAGAAGTATCTGCGCTGATATCTACAAATGTTTTAGTCTTATTCAGTTTTGATCGTATCCTGACTGTTTATCATCCGATAAGATTTCGTGGAGATCGTCACCTACGGATTGTTCACATTGGCATTATAAGTATTTATATTATTGCTAATATTTTATACCTGCCAACATTGATTAATTCAGATTTGGTTAAAAATACTAAAAATTATACAGTTTGTCAATTTGTTGACCCGTTAAAATTTAGTGTACAATATAATTTATACTGTCGAATATTGCCTCAACAATTATCCCAACACTTGTAGCCATAATCACAACAATTATGATTATAATTAAACTACATAAAATATTTAAAGAACGTTATCGTATGTGTCAACAGCACGGTGATCGTAATCCGAATGAACTACGTCGGATAGCTGGACACTTGGCTATGACAACAATGTTTTTTATTCTAAATATTCCATTGATTATTGTTGTCTTGTTAAGACAACACGCCGATTACAGTAACTACAATTCATTGTATCCACAGCATGTGTTAAAATTGAAACATCTATCCAAATTGTTTAGTTCAATGAAATCATTGAATTCAGCTATGGAATTTCCCACATTTTTTATATTTCTGCCTTCATTTCGTTTACACTTGCGTCATTTATTCTGTGGTAAACAAAAACGTTTTGGTAAGAATGATGTTTTTAATCTACGCGGAATGCGGGCGACAATCAGTAGTGTAATAGGACATAAAAGTAGTAGTAAAGAATTGGAGTCGAAATCAAGTAATCATCATGAAAAGTATAAATCAAATTTTACAAAGGGTGAAAAAACATTTAATCAAAGTGCAAACATATAAAATAAAAAAAAATATATAATAAGCTGTTGAATACTGTTTGAGGATGAAAGCAGTTGAAAAAAAGGAGAACAACACAGAAGGGAGAAGAGTACAGTTGAGTTTTATTTATTGCTGTTTTTTGTTCTGTCAGAGAATATTTATTAACGCTCTATGTCTTCTATTTACTTTCTTTTATATAATATGATTGTTGTGATCAGTATTATTTGTTCTGAAGACTTACTACCATCGCCAGGTAATATTTGAACCGGTGGGTGTATAACGAAATAGATTGCGTGGCACATACACACCCAGATTATATCTATGGTTAATATCAGAAGGTCTGATATAAACAAGTTTTGGTGTGGACTCTTACAGGCTTGCCTTAAGGAGGTGGTAGGTAATGACTATGACTGCAGAACAACTACTTAGAAGTTCACCCAAATGAATTTTATATTAAAAAAATATAGTTCATGGAAATGTCTTACAGCTGCTTCAAAAATTAAAAGGCGTTATTATTATTATTTCTTTAATTCCTAGACGAGCATTGGGCTTCAGCCGCGCGTCTTCATTGCGTTCGGTTCTCTGCTAGAGTTGAGATATGGCTCCAAGTCTGCCAACATGCTTTCATCTCCTCTACACATGACCTCCTCCAAGTCACTCTTGCACTGGCGACCAACTCGCCGCTTTCCTTTCGGGTTCCACTCAAGGGCTTGTCTAGTGATGTCACTTGATGGTTTCCTTACAGTATGGCCAATCCATCTCCATTTCTTCCTGCTTATTTATCCTAGTTGGTTCGCTCATTCCCAGTGATCCCTGTTGCTGATCTTTTCTGGCTGGTCATCTGATCTTGAGTACTGATCAAAGATAGCTGTTGATGAAGGTTTGTAGTTTGTTTGAAGCGCTTTTTGTGACGCACCAATTTTCTGATCCGTATAGTAGCACTGACTTCATATTGGAGTTGAAAATCCGGATCTTATTTTTGATCCTGAGTGCTGTTGACATAGAAATCATTAAAATTCTGTGTTTCATTCAAATGAGCTTTTCGTTTGTTTGTTTCTGGCACACTTTAACGACTAAAGTAGGCGTAGAACTTCAGAAATGTGGTAGACTGTAACTCCACATTAGATAGGTTTATTTTAATAATCACACAGTGATGCATTATTCAAAACTGGTAGACGTCCAGCTGGAATGATGCAACGCTTACACCGGAGACATGGAAAGTGGCAACAAAATCGAGGGGAAGATGCAGGAAGAGAAAAAGAAAAAATGTTGTGAAACCGTGTGACTAAAATTAATATAATTATGAGTGGTAATAAATCATGCTCCAAACCTTGTCATCCAGTTGATAATACCGCATGGTTGTGTGGTGTTTACAAAAAGTTATCTAATTTTGGACTACACTTTAACGACCTTTTAAATTAAGTAGTGGCGTAGAGTAAAATATATTATCTACCTTTATTATTATTAATATAATTTTCCCTTTAGGTTCTAAGTGCAACATACGGTTTCAGAAGCAAATCCCTACGTCATCCTGCCTTTTGAAGTCATATTTAGCTTGCTGCATGACTATCAATAAACTCTCATCTCCACCTCTGACGGTTTCCTCTATCTCACACTTGTACAAACACCCAATTTGTCGTGCTTCCCATTAAACTAGAAGAGCCAAACATACGATGTCACGAGCTGACATCAGTAAGAGAACCATTGGAAAACCACACGGTAGTACTGGATGGCTGTTGCGTCCAAGTTTAGGACTCTTCATCGGTATGCGTCCACCAGCGTCCATTCGAAATCAAGACCTTCTGGTTACAATGCGAGCTGGTAGACCAATAAGCAACTGAGACCCGAAATATTTGTTGACAGATAGGTCGTTTGTTAGTTTGCTGCACTGCCAGAGTTCCTGGTTCCTAATCATTTTCAGCTAGTCATACAGTTTTTATTACAGATAGAAATCAGCTGTTGATAATGTCTGCAGCCTGTTTAAAATTGATTTTCTTGACGCACCAGGCCACTGAACCATATGGAGAGGCACTAATTGACTTCATATGAACGCTGAAAATCCAAGTCTTGTTTTCTATGATGAGTGAGGTAGATTTCCGCAAGTATTTCAAAGTGATGAAGGTCTGTCTTGTATTTTGCTGTCCTACCTGTGGCATCATCTATGTCTCTTGTGGTTGAAACAATTTCGCTCATGTAAAATTCCTTCAGATCTTCCTTGTTGTAGGTGTTTGATGCTTGTTGTTGTTCTTGTTGCTGGTTGGCTGTCTTCATCACCTCTTTCGTATCGCTAATCACCTGAAGTCCTAATGAGTTTTTGTGACATCTGACATGAAGCATTGGTGAATTCCGAATCTTCCACAGTGTTCTTGCGGGCCTAAGGTATTCGTATTCTCTCGATCCTCATTTTCTATGGCATGATCCAGTCTACTAGAATTAGGGAAATGTTACAACCTAGGTTGTGCTATAGTTTGTCAGTGAGCGCTTGGACACTCATCAACCACTCACATAGCCTGGTTTTGATCACCTGCCGATCCATTCTTAATTTCATCTCAGCCAATAGCAAGCCAGGTAGAAAAGAGGAAGAAGTTCAGGTGTAAGGCTAATAACCCCACACCTTTAGGAAACGCCAACAGTGCTGCTGAAACTTCAGGAACTCAATATTAAAGTCATATATTCTATTAGAAACTGAAAGAATGAAAAATTAAGTTATTCAATTATTTTAGTTCTGATCGTATAGAAGAAACTGACTTACGTTTGTATTGAAAATCAATTTTGTTGTGATGCTGAGTGACAAGATTTCCGATTGTTTCAGGTGATGAATGTGTTCTCGCCTCGATTCTCATTTGACATCCTCGTCCGCCTAGTTGAGACAATGCTCCCTAGATAAGTGAATGAAATCTTTCAAATCCTCCGTTGATGGTGATTGACGTTGGATGTTGTTGCTGTTGTTGGTTGTTATTTTCATAACCTCCGTCTTGTCTATGTTTACCTGGAGTCCTGTCTTTGCTGCTTCTTCGACCAGTTGTCGGTTTTCCTTGTAAGTCTTCGATTTGTGTGACATCAACATAAATCATCCACGCGCGAAATCCAGGTCTTCTAGGTTCTCACGTCGGTCCAGGATATCCTGTCTTCTCGTTTCCCACCTCTGACGCATATCAGTCCACCACAATTAGGAATATCATTGTGATAACCTTGTCTGACTCCTGTGTTTACTCCAAACGCCTCGCTGAGTTTCCGTTGTGGATCACTGACATGCCGTTGTCGTACAGCTGTTGAATAAGTTGATGAATATTTGGGGTACGCCATGTACTCGAGTAATTTCCAAATTACTTCACTCAACGCGTCGAAGGCCTTCTCAAAGTCTATAAAGTTGAGGTAGTTTGATTGCCATTCCATGCTTTGTTCGTGATGCTAGAGTTGCAATTGGTCAGTACATGATTTTTCCTGAATCCAGCTTGTTCTGGTCGGAGTTCTGCTCCAGTGCGTCCTTTATCTCTCCAGGATGATGCGACTCAGGATTTTACTGGTCGATACATGATCCTCGCCAGTTCTTGCAGATAAGTCGCCCTTCTTTGGTAGTTTCACGAGGTAACCTTTCCTCCAGTCAGTAGACCTTTCCCACCTTTTGCAATAATGGAGTCAGCATGTCTGCTGTGTCTGGGTTCAGTGCCAATTGCAGTTTGCGCGCTGTTGTTTATTTCGGACGGGTTGCAGGTGATGGTCGGTTCAAGAGTCCTTGAAGGCGCCCATTGTTTAATCTGTTTTCTTCCTTGGTAATGGGTTCCCTTGCTGTCTTTTATAGGTTTCCTTGTGTTGGTCTCTTCCGGATAGAGATTTGGTTATCTGATATAGTGTCCTCAGGTCCCTTTTGCTCCTTTCAGTCAGTGCATTGTCGTAGAATCGTCTTTTGTCCTCCTAGCTCTTCTTCACTTCTTTGTCATGTTGTAAGTTGAGCTCACGTCTCCTTCTCCGTCCGTCCTTGCATTGAATCATTTTCTCTTTCACCATTCTCTCTTCTTAATTTCCAAGTGTCCGTTGAGGCCATTCCTTGTCTTGTCTCTTCTTTCTTCCTAGAACCGTTGAACACGTTTCGTTGAGAATCGCCTTCAGAGACTTCCAATGTTCTTCCACCATGATTCTTCAGTGATGTCGGTAGTGTTTCCTTTTGCTCACAGTTGCAGTGAAGTTGTTGTGTCTTCAGTTGAGTGTTGACTTGCATTGTGGCTATCCCAGCTATCCTCGAGGCTTTTAGTTCACCTTAAAGTCCCTTCTACTAGATAGTGGTCTGAACCCACATCTGCTCCTCCTGACCTTGTGTCCAGTAGGTCCGTCTCCACTTTCTTGAAATTGAGATGAAGTCTATTTTTGGTGTTCCATCTGGTGAAATCATGTCGTCTTGTGTATATCCTTGTGTTTGAACACAACCACCAATCACCAAATCATTGAAGGCGCAGAAGTCTGAGAAGAGTTCACCATTTCGTTCATTTCACCGAGGGCCTCACGACCCAGGTGAGTTCTCTTCTGTGTTGTCTCTCCCAGCTTCGCATTCATGCCCATCAGGATTTGATATCGCCATTTCATTGATATTCATATTTCGGTTACAAGTGATTAGTGATAAATCAGTGAGTGGCTTTTATTGGCTAACTTATTTTAAAAATGGTATACCTTTAATTAAATATTTTAGACTGTACCAGTTTATGGTTGTATTACATTCTGTTTCGTATCCGGTTTCTTTCCAACTCTGCTGAAATGTACTTGAACGTTTCTGAAAAAAAAGAGCATCATCGTACATCAGATATTGGAATTTAATAGCTTTCTGAAGTAAACACTGCCACTATAAATCTAACTGTAAAATTTCGCTAGTGTTTTAAACTGTGATTCTCGTATATAACAATTTCATTTAATACAATACACAGTGACACGCACTAATAATAAGTGGTTGACGCTTCGAGCACGATTTCTGGTTCATAATCATATTAATATATTCAAACAACTGAATAATTTGCCTTGTGTAATCCACC